TCTGGGGCACACAGGCCTAATTTAAAAAACAATAATTTCCCAATCTTGGGGATTCTTTCGGCACCCACAGTGCAAATCATTGGGCCACCGAGACCGTCAACTATTCTATCAGCGAAAAACAAATTTCTTAAGAATGTTTCTTGAAATTCTTAACAATAAAACACTCATATCTCTTTCGAATAATGATTTATTGCTTCATTCTATAAACAATTCGTTGAAACTTTATTGTAACGCTGGAACTATTTCATACTTGACCGTTACATAGAATATTACTATACATAGTGCCTAAATATAAAACAGGTTTACATAAAAATAATATCAAATACAAGAAAAATAATCAAATTATCGAACTGTAACAAGTATGTTTTAAAAACAAAAAACAAGATGTCAATATTATTTCGTATATTTTCAATAATTTAAATACTGATTTTATTGTCAATTCCAAAATATACTACAAGTTAACAATACTTAATGCATATTTATAATTTACAAATATAATATATTTTTATATTAAAATAAATCATTGACATCACCAACTTAGCGTAATAATTATTATCAGATCAAATTATGTGGCCTTAAAAACTAAGTTTGTAACTATATTTTGTAATATTGAACTGATTCTTTTGTGCAATCTCGATTGAAAACGTAAACTATGGTAACTATTACTCACTCTGTTACGGTTCAAAATAAAACACTCGTTTTATAACGAGCACCTAGCAGTAGCGTAGCGTTAGTTTCTGCCGCCTGGGGCAAACCTCAAGTTTGCTGGCCCCTCTATTTTCACGAGTACTCGATTGTGTTTTTATGGTATCGTTTTCTCAAACAGAGAATTTATTTTCCAATTTTGTGTAAAACAAATAATTTTGACTAGTTAGGGGTCGGACATGGCCCCCTCTGCACCCTCACGCTACGCCACTGCCTTATAGGCGATCACAAAACCATTAAAAAAAAAGAAAAATACTGGCATCAAGAAAATAAAAACAAATAAATGCATTAGAAACAAAGCGTTAAAGAAAATACTGAATAATATAAAAAAACAACATTCTGTGATCGCACTAAGGTTTAAATTTCAATAACTTGAGTAAAAAGGATAAATTATAAATTAGCAAAACTGGTTTAAAGTATCCGCTTTCAATACTTTAAAGAAACAAAGTAGCAACAAGCTAAATGAAACCATAGAAGCATAATGTGAAAGCGTAATAAATCTCTGTACAAAAAAAATTACTTATGTAAACTGTGCTCTTACATAAGTCATTATAAACTCGTAAAAAAGACATTTAAGAAGCCTCGTCACATGTTAATATCAATGAGATCGCAAAATAAACTGCTTTATAATGTTTCGCTTAAAATAACCGACTCATTTAACTCACATTTTGCTTAGTTATAATTCATTTAATAAACTGGATTATATTGAAAATAAATATATTTTTAAATTATATCTTTTATAGTACTTCCTATAACAATACGAGTATAGCAATATATGAAGGCCTGCTTGAGTGCATCACCGATTTCACATTGGTTACATTTATGATTTGTAAAATATTTTTCGCTTAAATAAACATCACTCAGCACTTAAGCCACGGTTCTATACCGACAAGTTCTAATTAACCAACGCTCAGAAAAAGAATTTTGATGACTGATAGTCGACAAAGGTGTTTAGTTTCCATAACAGTCTTTATTATCATGGAGATACAAATGATTTTCCATAACAAAGTCTTTATCGTCATGGAACTACAAAATGATATGCGCTTTATAGTTTCCGTGATAATAAAAACTTTCTTATGGGAACTAAACTTCTGTCGGCTCTCAGTTAACAAAGATTCTTTTCTGAGTGAAGTACAGGGTATTGGTCGCCTGTGATGGTCCATCTAAGATGTTTATATACTCTAATATAAACGCTTGAAATGCATCTTGAGTTCTGAGTGACATCTCCGCCGATACGCACTTCACGGCGGAAGTAGGTGTTTATTAAATAAGGGCCTTACAATTATGTCCATATAGTCTGTCTTTTTTGAAGACGGAGTAAAATGATAGTTCATTGCTCAAGTGTGACCCGATTGCAAGCAGCTAGCGATTGCAGTCGATAAATATTCTATGGACTGAATATTGGTCACGCTTCAGGAATAAACAGCCGAATTTGTTTCATTTGAATCATCCTCATTTGAATTGTGTACTTTTGTAACTTCAATATACATATAACGTATTTAGAACTATGTTTATGAAAAATACGAAGAGGAGACATATTTTAAAGTTTTTCATTTTAATTCAATATAGATAATCAAATCCGACTGTTCCCGTTAAAATGTATATGAATAAAAATCTATCTCGATACTAGTAGGCGAACAGGCAAAATAAGAACAAAGAAGGCAATAACGTAATTAGCAATCATAGAACGTCATAACATTCAAAATTCAGTTATTTTTGCCAATTTTTTATCTTCTTTCACAATCAATCGATAAAACTATCGACAACAACTACATAACTATTTAAAGTTTTATGAAAACTGGCAACCCTACAAATGTCATTTTACTCCTACAAAAAAGACAGACTATAGTACAATATCCGACAATTCAACAGTGAATTTTCACACCATGAGACAAATCGACACAAAACAACAACTTAAATCACATAATAAATACTATATCGGGACGCAAAAATGCTGTAATTTTTACTAGTTTAGCAATATTTTCATAATTTCCAATACGTTTGTCCCTAACATTGAGTATGACCAACACAACAAGAAGCAGTTGAATAAAAATCTAAGGAACACGATACTAATATTTTATACATACATTAGCTCTCTCTCTGACAAAGTCTGACGTAATAGTAAAGCGTTTTCTAAATGCATAGCATTTTTCTAATTAATTTTTTAGTTCAATACGATAACATATTTTGGCACTACGATTAATGGACTGGTTTCTATCATCTTACTGTGATTTGTCTTAAAAATGACATGAGACTTCTTCTTCCAACATGAATATCCAGCACAACAGCTGTGACATCGAGTAGCCAAACAAATTTTATGACAAAGCTTCTAACCTAATTATTATTAAGAGGGCATTTGCGAAGTTCGCTCTAATTTTTATTTAACTATTTCAAAAGCAACTATTTCATGTTTAAAAGTATATTTGCCTATATCGAATTTGGCTAGAATAAGAATGGTTTGAAGCGTCGGGATTCACACGGCTACTCCAACGCAACTCTGGTCGGAAAGCTGAGGTGTGGTGCGGAGGTAGTGGCCGCCATTAAGGAAATAATAATAATCTAATTAGACTTCGCCACAGCTTTAGATTAATTTTAAAGATTTTTGTTTATTAAAAATCTTTAGATGTTTGGGAAACTTTTTTTTATATTTTCACTTTCTTTATATCAATATAATACAAGCGTACAAAGATACGTACCTTGTTAAAACACAATAATTATGAAAACACAGGATACGTAATATAAATGTTATTGCTCAGTATTCATTATTTCTTTTTTCTATAATGAATATTTTTTTTTGCTATAACATTCATGTGATAACAATAGACGTATTATCGCATACATTTCTTAAATATAGACGGAAATTAATAATACAACACTATTCTTACAATAATCTCTTTGAAAAGAACTAAGTTACTGTGGATTGTCATAAAACATTTAAGAATGCCCGTAGTACAATAATTAAAATATCAAATTGAAGAGGACCAAAACGGTACTAGGGGACACGTCAAGCTGAAAATACATAGCTTAATTCATAATTTAGCTGTTTAGCTTGATTTTGTTTGACTTAAAGTGCAGTTTTTCTTCCCATTGTTAAGACAAATCACAATAATCTAAGGCTGGTTTCACAGCTGCGCGTACGGTCCGTACGGACTGTCCGCCTGCGGGCCATCCGCATGCGTAAAGTCTGCAGTGTTCTGGATCGAGTATTTAATTTAGTCCGGATATTCACGGAAGATAGTCGCCTACAATGTACGCACGGGTGGCTTATGCGGAGTTCACGCGACACGTGTTCCGTACGGAGCAACCCGCGTCACTGTAAAACGATGTTCTAACGCCACGGACAGACAGTCCGCAGATAAATCCGCCCAGCTCTGTAACCAGCCTAAGCCATGATACTCGAATCTATCATAGATTCCAAAATTATATAATCATAGACGGCTTCATAACAAAGACGATGTATATATATAACATTTCTACTGTTTTCTAGAGCTACAGTCTTTAAAGGAATACTAGAGTTAAAGACCTCTATGACATGTTTATTGTTATATTAAATAAGTGTCAAAAAATTTGTTTTGCTGGGTCCACATCAGTTTCTTTTTAAAATATAATATATTGTGGCCGCGTAAGGCAGTCTGCACTTAAATCCGCTACCGTTTAATCACTTTACCAGCTGTTGCACAGCTATCAAGCTGAATAGAAACAAAGTATCCACAAAAGCGGAACGCAGAAGAGATATACTTAAATAATCAAATCGTAATTCAACGTAACGCCATCCTGCCGACAGTTTCAATGTCTTCAGAGATCCGATTTGTTAATCAGTCGTTCCAAGAGGACTAGCTTACGAGGTCACAGTATAAAATTGCAATGTGGACGCCACACGTGTTTGTGTTAGTTATCAATTAATGTAATGAATTTCAAAGATAGAAAATAGGACCTACTTTTTCAAAATTGTTACTTACAAATTTGTAAATTCACTATATAAAAGTTGGTATATTTGTCTACGTATACACTAAGATAATTAACATCTATAAATACAAGGGGTGTGTCTATAAAACATTCTAGAATAATTTTAACAATTATTTATGTCGTTATTTGGATATATTATATGTTTATAATTACGTAGTTAGAATTACGAAAGATTTTTTTTATTCGAATATATTTCAAATATTAATCAAAATTATCTTAAGAACGGAGAATATATTGATTGTGAGTGAATATATTCATAATTCACGATGCAATATTAACCCCTTGGTATTTTTTCGAGTTATTTTCCTTAGTTGGTTCTATTAACACGCAATTTTTTTGTCAGCTCGTATAAACTTTCAGCTTAAAAGTAGCACCGAAACCTTGGTATTCCAATATATCTTTAGACCAATTCTGAACACTTGCGTTGTTTTTTAAACTTTCTCGTATAAGATATGAAAGGACTGCAGTCCCGAACGTAAAGCACCAATAATACATAAAATTGTAACGTTAAATATATAATTTCCGAAAATCTGAAATTAATAAGACTTCCACAAACCTTTTATTGCTTTGAGTTTGGGCGATTTTTTCGTGGCTTCCAATTCTTGTTTTATGCTGATCATGAATTTGTTTTTAAAACTCAATCTCGGCGTAGACGGTCTTAGAAGAAACTTCTTCAAATCGTTTGTAAAACTCTTTGCCGTGTAGTTAGTCTCGTCTTTTTCGTCGGCACTGGATTCAAGAAAGGACACGGATTTAATCGATTGAACAGATTTTATCGATTGAATAGAGTTTTTTCTTTCACTATTTTTCTGAGGCGTCCGGCTTTGAGATTGTAAAGTCGAAGCTTTAGAATTATAGCTTTTGGATGCGAGCGAAAACTCGTCGTCTATAGAGTCTAAAGTATCGGTCGATCGATTACAGACGCGGCAGCAAAGTTGGCAATGTTCTTTGTCACTGTGATACCGACCATTGCAGAACACATAATTCTCCTTCATTCGGACATTTCTAGTCGGTTTACTTTTACCTTTTTCTTTGTATTTCACTTGCAATTTGTCACGTTTCTCTCTTGACAAATCCCTTTTGATTTCGACTGTTTTCTTAGATGTCCTAGGTCTATCTTTGTCGCTGCTTTTTCTCGATCGTTTTCGTCTGCATTTCGGGCAATTGTTTCTTGCAATTCTACGTAGTTCTTTGAGGAATTCGTAATCGATCTCGAAGTAATTTTTCGCGTCCGGCTCGGAATAATAACGTTGGTCGCTGTCGGTGTCTTGGTCCTTTTTTCCTTCTATAACTTTTGGTTTTTCAACGTTGCGGCCTGGATCTGAGTAGTATCTGACATCGACATCCGATTCATTGTTTTCTTTGTTGCCATGTTTGCAGTGGGAGCAGAAGGTGACGGATTTGTTTCTGGGTGGAGAAGGAGGTATTTTTGGGGAAGGCGGAGTGGGGGGCAGGGGTCAGGCCTGCACGGAAGGTACCCATAAGGTTTTGTTCTGCTCCTCTTCGACCGCTTCCTTGATTTGTGTGCACATGTATGCGATGTTCACGCCGGCGGGAATTTCAGCTGTAAAAGAAGCGTACGTGTTTCAAAGTTACTTGAATTCAGATTTTGTAAGAAAAAATAATATGAATACGATTACAACTGTCATTGCAAATTGAAATGTAAAAAAAATACGTTTAGGTTTAATATTAAAATAAGATGAAGTTTTCGGCATAATCTCAAATGTCATTTCGTATTTTGGAGGATTTCGTTCACACTCTTGTGCCTACTACAAAAAAAAAATAATTTCATTTTCTTTACAAAACAGTTTTATAATGAGTAGTGGTTAAGGCCATTACGTTTGTCGAACTAATTCATTGGCTTAGACTGTTTGAAACTACGCATTTTGACGAAAGCCAAAACATAAACTTGTCAGTCATTCCTGATACAAGTATTTTCATACTTAAAAGAAGGTCTCAACCTTGTTTGCAATTTTGTTAATATTTGAGACGAAATAAAGTATTTTTATTTTATTCGTACCTGAAATATAACTCCTGTACTCATTTTCAACTTTAAGTCCATGCTCATACATCTCTTTAGCCGCCTTTGCAGACACTTTATCAGCCGGGTACCTCGTGTCTTTCACCTCTTTGATCTGCTTGAACGATTTGAACTTTATAAATAGGACTATTGGGTATATTTGCTGTTTGTGGAGCTTCTCGATTGTCGCTACACTTATGTCCAGGATGCAGTGGATGCCCTGTGAAAGTAAATAAACATTCATATAAGAAAAATGTCGAGAAAACCAATAGTACTAATTCGACAACAACTTCCAACAACCACATACGTTGCTCTGATTCCAAAGCAAGTAGCTAAAGCACTTGTGTTATGGAAATCGGAAACAACGACGGTACGACGGACGGCAAAAGTTCGTTTTCGACACTGACCCGGCCGGGGATCGAACCCGGGACCTCAGAGATGGCGACACCATGAAAACCGGTGAGCAAGCCACTCGACCACGGACGCCATCGATCCGGCTGGATTCGAACCAACACCTTCAGGATATCCATGCCAGAAGCTCTGCCAGTTATGCCACGCAACGAACCAACAGACTTTACGAGTTTTTCTACGTGCTTCTTGCAGTTCGAATGTATTTTTCTAAATCTTTGTTATTAACAATTTTAATAAACTAGTGGAGTAATTTCACAAAAAAATTATATTGAATATTATGGTGGTGAAACATGAAAAATTCAATAAACTTAAAAATAATTGTACTAAGTCAAAAATAGCTTCGGTGACGTGAAATAATTGATATATTCAGGCGAGCCTAATGGATTTATTTTATTATTTATTGTTTTTGAATGTTTTAGTAGTCTCGAAATTTCGACATGTTTCTCCACTTATACAAACAGCGGCAATTCTCGTCACATTATATAGGAAGAATAGAGCTTCGCTGAATAAATAACGCACAAACGCACAGCCACTAAGGAAGCCCTTACCCTGTTTCGGGTGCCAGGGATACACACAGGCAACTACAAATTATAAAGAAGATACGAGACCTTCTCCGCCATCTCCCGGACGGCCTGCAGCGGGATGCAGTCGAAGTGCGTGGAGTCGCGGCGCGGGCGCGGCTCCAGGTGCGTGCCGCGCTGCAGCGCCGGCGCGGCGCCGCACACGGCCACGGGCTCGCTGCGCACGCGCCCGAACACGTACGGCCAGTCCGACACCAGCTTGGCGGCCACGCACTCCCACAGCGGGCCCAGCACCACCACGGGCCGGTGGTTGCCGTAGTCCAGCCGCTCCACGCGCTGGTACGACAGCAGCGGCACGTCGTCGGCCAGCGTGCCCGAGTCGCTCCAGCAGCCCAGCTCGGTGTTGGAGAAGGAGGCCAGCTCCTTGCTGTCGCGGTGCTTCTTGCGCCGGAAGAACGAGCGCCGCGCCGTCGTGGACGCGCGCCGCTGCGCCTCGCTCTCCAGCGTGCCCGTCGACCGCCGGAGCACCTCTTCCACCCTGGTAAGTGACCGACACCTTTGAGAAGCTGACGAGGCCTTGTTACCACTTTTCCACAATTCCTCACTTCGATGTGCAACATTTTAGGTCCAGGGATAGTTCACGCCACCTACAGTCCAATTAAAATTTCCTCCCACATACATTTTTCTTGACCTAATTTATATGCGTATTTTAATGTAAAATTTGTGAAAGCGTGGAGTTTAAATTCATGAATAAATTTAGTTTTGGGTTTACTCTTTTGAGATGTCTGGAATTAAAGATTAATATTAGACGTAATTGAAAATAATCCGATTTATTATTATATCAAAATAAACTACAAAAGCCTGAAACAGAGTTAATAGAAGCTGAATTGTGCCGTGTGTTTCCGACGTGACGAAAGTTCAGAGGAATATATATTTTATAATGTTTAAGAGAGTTGCTAGTTTAATTCATTGAGTAAAAATAAGGTTGTCTTAGGGTCGTATTCCAAAACTCATTGAGTAGAGTCTCAAATCAGGACAATAAGTATGATTTCAAGCACTGGAAATGGTAATGGTAAGGACTTGAGTATGATTTCTAGTGCTTTAAATCATACACAAGTCCGGACTTAAGCATAGAGTAGAGTTCTGGAATAAGACCCTTACAGAATCAACTTGACTAACTCACACAGTAGGTCATCAAGGTACAAATAAATATTGCTGGGTAGATTTTATAACTATTAGTGAAAAATCAGCAAGGTTTCTTTTTGACTGATTTTGTTTCCGTGAGAACAATAAATACAACAACATTATACTAACATAAGTAACAATCCAATCGTTCTCTAATTGAAGATGCGACAATATAATACACGTTGTATAATACTTACTTGAATTTGCTAGGTATTGTTCCCCAATGTCGTTTTACACCCCTACCATCAAGTTGCCACGCACGCCACAACCCGGGTGCACCGTTGTACAAAGTGTTGTCCACGAACAACACTTCGTCTTTGCGGAACCATAGAGAATATTCGTCTATGGTGTCCACGCCAATAGAGGTGATCTTGGCACATCGGTCGAAGCCCGCGCGGATGAAGAACGCGTCGCCGGGCTTGTCTTTTATTTTGTGGTACTCTTGAAGATCGTGACGGACTAAAACGCTCACCTGTAAAAATATTGAAAGTTAAAATAAAAACTGAATCATGAAAAAATAAAATTTAACATTACTGACTTGGAATTGAATATCCTTTTTACATATTAATAGTCAACTTTATTCTTATGACGTAAGTGACCGGAAGAACAAGTGGGCCTGGCGGTAAAAGGCATGCCGACCCATAACAATTTTTGTTTTATAATATCAAGTAACGGAACAAACTAGTCGTGCGCCTGATGGTAAGCTACACGCCTGTCTAAAACAGTTGGAGTGCCACTCTGAGCTTTAAATCGCCAAGATCTGAGGGGCACTGCCACTGCCCGTCACCCTGAGACATAAGTTGACAAGTCCCAAGTGACTGTAATTTCACCAGCACCCCTTACCCTTCAAAACCGGAACACAGTAATACTGACATTTCTGCTTAGTGGCAAAAATAGGTAAGGTAGCAGTACTTCCCTGGACGAACTCTTTCACAAGGAGCTCTACTGCTACTAGAATTGAAGTGCCTCTCGAAGCTTTAAGGTCGTATTCCAGAACTCTACTCAATGCTCAAGTCAGGATCTGAGTATGATTTCAAGCACTGGAAATGCGACCCTAACAGCAGGGACTTGAGCATGATTTCGAGTGCTTTAAACCATACTCAAATCCTGACTTGAGCATTGAGGAGAGTTCTAGAATACGACCCTTAAATTGCAAAGTTATTATTTGTTTTTAGTTTATTTCTTCTTGTTTCTTTTTCTTTCTTTCTTGTTTTGTTATTTTATTTATATTAAAAAAATACCAAGTAGTTTTTCTTTCTTTTTTTAAGTTATATATTTATTAGTAGAAACTTTGCTTTATTATTTGAGAAACAAACAATGTAATTAATTGTATTCCGTTGTATTACTGATACAAAAGTTCTTACCTTATCCGCGGGTTTAGCCAACTCCAAAGCAGCCTGTTCAGCAGTTGCGCGCCTCAAGTCCACATTATTGTACTCCAAGATCTGATCTCCAGTGCGCAGGCCGGCTATATACGCAGGAGACTCTATCTGGACACTATGTACAAAGATCCCCACGGCGTTTCCTCCCACAAGACTTATGCCAAGGTCTGAACGATTCCGCATTTCTATTAACAAGAACCTCGGTAAGTCTTTGTTGGTTTCTCTCGACTGTCTACTAAGTGTGGCATTCATCGTCTGTTCGTTCGCAGGAGCCTCCAACCTCAAAGACTGCTGGGGTCCTGGAGAATTCCTCGGTGTCGGCGAACCGGATAAAGATACTTCTTCATCGTGAGAACTATCCCCAGACGACGAGCTGCCAGGAACTTCGACTTCATCCTTGTACTTCTCGGGACTGTATTGCACGAGCATCGTTATGGAGTTTCCTATCTGTCTCAGTACACTAGCTGCCAAGCTATACGTCGCTGATCTCATATTGATCCCACAAACCTCCAGCAACTGATCGCCTATTTCTAGCCCAACTTGGCTAGCTAAAGAATTGTCGTAAACGGTAGATACGAAAACTCCGCCTCCACTCGGTGGACAGCAGATTTGTATCCCAAGAGGTTGCTGACTTTTATCAATGTGAACTCTTCTTAGTTCCCCCGGCAAAGGTTTATTCCAACCAAGACCACAGTATTCTGGCATAGAATTCCTTGTTCCTTTGTGTATTGGCTTGGCTCCACGACCCGGACTTAAGACTTCCACATGAAATGTCGGCATTGGAGAGTTTCTTTCTGAACTTCTTTCGATGGATCCAGTGCTAAGTTTCCCAGCAGAATTCTTAGAAGTCACACTAGGATTGGACGGAATCCGAAACCTCTGGTTTTCCTTTTTTCGTGGAAATGTTCCACCTTCATATGCATGAGGATAATCAGCTCTATTCGCTCTTGGAACCGACTGTAAATCTGACATATTGTGCGTATGCGAAGTGAATGAATGCATTTCGTAACTCGTTCCAATACTTTCTCCGGATTGACTTTGTGGTATATTTGTGGGACTAGCAAGGTGCGGATATCTCGATGTGTGAGGATTTGAGTTGACGAACGGGCCTCTGTAATACTGAGATTGAAGTCTTGACTGCGAAGGCAAGGTTCCAGTCATTGGGAAGTTAGCGTTGCTATTCAAACTCTCAGGCCCGAAACTGTCACTATCTGATGGATATTTATTTACTGTTTTTGGGGATGATGCCTTTTTTGAATAGTACTGTTCCAATATGTCTTTTCCGGGGTGGTTTTTCATAGAATGATCTAATGAACTGGGCGATTTTCGAGTCACAAAATCAAGAGAGCTCGGCCCTTTATTCACGTTGAAATCTAAAGAATGTGGGCTTTTATTTCTATTTCTAGTCACTGGTTGATAATCCAAGGAATCATCTGAAGGATTGAGAACTAAGCTAAGACGATTGGGGGCCATATCGTGTTCGTAATCACTCATCGACATTTTGTCCTTTTCTAAGGTTCTGATCTTCTCGAAGTTGTTTGGTGATGCGAAAGGGTTATGAATAGTAAGTGGTGCAGGTTTTGGGAAGTGCTCGATAGCTGGAGATGACTCAATAGACTTGTATACAGAATGTCTGGCTGGTGCAGTGACTTGAGTTAAAGGGGAATGCCCGAGAGGTATTGGGTTTGAGTTTCTGTTTGTGTTAGATCGCTGTGGTTCAGGAGGCAGTTTTGTTGGAGGACTCAGTAGAATTGATAATGGGGGACGTTCCTTCCTTGCCCTGGGCTGGACGATTGTCCCAGTTGAATTCTCTTCTAGAATAAAGTTGGCTCGTGCTTTTGGCCATGTTCCTCCGTTCTTGGAGTCATTTTGTGACTCTTTATTCTTTCTACGAGAGCGTTTTAGGACGCTACTCGTTTCTTTGGCTGAAATTAAATTAAATTAAATCATTTAGGAACAATACGTAATATTAAGATAAATTGCAAGAATTAAAGGCTTATCGTTCTTCTTGAGTAGTGAAAAACAAACAATTTCCATCGGATCAAAAATAAATTTACAATACTACATTTAATAACTTCCAAGGATACATTGGCGTATAGAGTAATAACATGTAACTCACCGGTTTTGCCATGATAGCTGTCAATAACTGAATCCAGCTCAGCTATAGCATCCGATTCTGGCACCTGTTGCAAGATATGAAAATTACACCGTTGTTTGAACAACACTTAAAAACACGGAAAAAATAACCTAAATAGTCAAGTGAATTTTCGGTCTAGATATAAATTAAATTAATATATAGAAATTGTATATTTTCACAAAAAATACCACTCATAATCCACAATTAAATGTACTAAATCACATCAGATAAACACGTAAATATTATATTTTCTATAATTGTTATTATTGTATTCATAAAAAAACTGTTGATAAATGTCGATGCGAAATAGTTTACCGCATCGTCACCGGAATGGAACAAACGTAACAAATCATATATGATATGCTATAGCATCAATAACGATATCGTATCAATAACAAGTGATATCGGTGTAATCTGTCTTTTGTAAACTTCGCCGCTTATATGCTTTGAGTATGAAATTCGGAGCACTTTGACGCCAGTTTGGCGGCTTCGTTTCGAGGCCGCTTTTGATTTTTTTTCATATTACACGTCCTTTTATAATCTCACCTAATTTTGACTGACGTTGGTAGAAGTTTGACCAAAGAAATGCCTATATAATAATAATTTCTCCATTCCCTTGCCGTACGCATTAATAAGGAGGAAGCAATGCGCTTCGTGCAGATGGGTGATATATCAACGAAATAAGGAGCTTTATAATCAACCGTAGGAGGAACGGTGAAGGCGGGACTGAATTTGAAAAGTCCCTGCGCACAATCTCCGAAATTTGTCCAATCAAACCAAACCAAAAAGCAGGCCAGTTTTCTGCGGTGCTCAATGTTTTGAATTTTTTTATGATAAAAAATGAGGAGAGGAACAAGTTGTGCACATGGTAGAAAGTAACACGCCTTTCGTTAGCAGTTGCAGATCTGAAGTGCACTGCCACTGTGCCCGTTACCCTAAGACATAAGTTGATGAGTCTCATGTGCCTGTAATTTCACCAGCACTATTACCCTTCAAAACCGAAACGAAGTAATGCTAATATTACTGCTTGGTGGCAGAAATAGGTAAGGTGGCAATACTTCCTTGGATTAACTCTTTCACAAGGAGCTCTACGGCTACTAGGATGCTATTTCAAAGTTTTAAACTAAAAAATATTCTCGCTATTCACAGGTTTCTTAACCACTCCATGGTCACAGGTTGACTGACTGTCAGTGAAGTAAATTGCGATAACAATTTAGTGAAAAAGTACGAAGAATCATCAAAATCGGTTTACAAATTCCGGAATAAACGCGTAACATACACACACAAAAAAATATAGTCGAAAATGAAACTATTTTTCCGGATTTAAATCGCGTATATTTGTTTTTTCAAACAAACCGACGTTTCGGGCCCTGTACAGGTCCCATGGTCACGGTTCACGGTAAACCGTGACCATGGGACCTGTAAAGGGTCCGAAAAATAGAAAAATATCCGGAAAAATAGTTTCATTTCCTATGTGTAACAATCGCGAAAACCTAGGAACTCGATAAATATAGTCGAATTGATTTTTTTTTTCAAGTCGGTTAAAAATAAATAGCCGTTAAAAATATAGTCAGCCTTAACTAAACCTTTTAGATATTCGAGCACACATAAAATAATTGATTCAACAAGATTCACCGACACGCCACCACTCTGTTTATAATCAGATGCGACTATTTTCCCTACAATCCTTAACACAATTGTAAATAAACAAAGATGAATAGAATATAATAGTGAAGTTTACTTACCTTATTCTGTTTGTCCTTCGATTTGCTCCTACCGGTGACAGCTTCGATCGTGCCGCGTATCATGTCCCATGCACCTGTAGATATACTGAGTTGTCTTATCTCGTGTTATCGAAGTGTAAATCGCACCTTGGCGTGCTTTCTGTAGACTAGGCTATCTTAGAAGAAGAAATTGACTCAATCTTTCATGTGATGTTGTCAATTTGCAGTAAGGAAGGTAGCGTCTTTTTTGAAAGCGTGTCTATGTACACGTTCATATACACTATTTCTTTTTGCCCAATATCCAACAAAGCCAAAATAACTAAACATGTGGTGGTAGGGAAGTTAAATTTTTAATAAACGAAAAGTAAATGTGAAAAGAATGATAACAGACTCGAGCACGCACAGGTTTGCTGCGCACGCGTCATTTACAGACCGCAACAAAAGTATTCATAAGACTAGTGTTTACAAGAAATTTGTGTCATGTTAACTTGTTGAATTTGTAACAAGCTGTAAAGATTTTTTATAAAATAACAACTACGTAGGAATGTATTTATTTGATACGCAATCTTATCATATTATTTTATTCTTATGACATGATTGTGTTGTGTTTTCTGGTTTTCCTATACGTTTCTGTATGCATACGTTAATGAGCTATAAAGACCGCGTACTCATTTCTATTAGTTCAATTTGTTTTTTTTATAATATCACGTAACGGGATGGAAATATCGTGCGCCTGGTGGTAAGCGACACGCCTTTCTGTAACAGTTGCAATACCACTCAGAGCTTTAAATCGCATAGATCTTACGGGCACTGCAATTGCGCCCATCACCCTGAGACAGACAAACTTGTATGTGATCAATATTACAGTCAAAGTAATAATATAATAATGTGTAACAATCACACCGATTACCTGGTCATAAAAAAATCCCTGTGCTATGAGTACCAGAGCATTGGTATTCACTCTAGGGCACGACCCCGCACACCCAGACCAGAACAAATTTAAAAAAGTTAACTACCCAAATTGGTCTTACTAGGAATCGACACCGGGACTACCTCATCCAGCGCCCACAGTTGCAAATCATAAAATACTTGGAAGACAAACATGTTAGCAAAAGTTGTGTAATATAGTTATTTGATTCGAAATGCTTATTGCTGCTTGCAATAAAAATCAGATTTAAAAAAATAAGTTACGATTTTAAGATTCAACACTAAAAGACATTGGTGGGGTTATTCGAAAAAAAAAATGAGAGATGGTTTTTTTACGGGCTTAAAGGGATTACATGCTGGATTACAATTAATACGTTATAGGTATATTGTTTCATTTTAAAACTATATGCGATATGCTTATAACCATGTGTGCCACAAAACCTTTATCCTATCGACCAACTGAGTTATACGAGCCACTATTTAGCACTACATACCTTAACAGCCCCAAATCTTTCTTTAGTTTTGATTTTACCGACCGTTACGATATACGAGAAAGACACTATAATAACCTGTGCGCACACAGGGACCTTACAAGTTCAGGTTCTGAACCCAGATGAGCCAGTGTAGGGTTGTCACAGACCTCTGTCACTTGACTTCATCCGTTTCTCGAGAGGCTAGCGCCTCCGGTGAGCCGCCCCGGGTGCACGTACAGTATTCTCCCTATTTTCCAGATAGGTATCGGAGTTGTAGGCACGCTCACTGCCCGTTGCGCATTGCACACTAACGGTTGCCACCGCTACCTACCTTAACAGTCCCCCGAACACTCGTATGCTACTAAGTGTTGGTTAAAAGCAATTGACTCACCTCTCTCCTGGTGTATCTTGCCCTGGCTACCGGCCGCCACGTGGTACACGTACCGCCGGTCAAAGTCTGGCACTCCATGGTCAATGTGAACCTGACGACGTATTATCAACAATGAATAATCACATAGCAAATTGTGATAACGTGCGGGAACCCCCTTTTCTTGTACATACAATACATAATTTCAATATTTACATTCATACGTGCGTGCAAAGTCAGATTTGTACAAAATCGTGATGGACAAATAACGGGAGCTCTCTTCGTCGTAAACAACGCATTTCCATTTTGATAACTGCCTAGATATTGGCACCTATAGTATAAAGGTTTAGGTAATGAACTATAAGTAAATAAATTTCAGCTGTCATGGTTAACCGGTCAAATACAATATTTAGTTGTGAGTTTCATACATCGTATTATTGTTGTACTCTTTAATTTGGTCGTATGTTATTACGTCATCTTTTTAAACGCTGGATTTTAGGTTGTTTATCGTGGGAAAGTTGTGTACACGGAAGAAAAAAAAACAATGGACGCGCCTCAAACCTCGATTACTATCAGAATCGATGTCACCAATACTCACACATTCTTAAATTGAAATGGGGTAGAAAGAGTCTACGGATCTCCATTTGCTACATTCCTGCCATACCATCACGCTCACGCTTCATTCACACTCTTCGTTTTGTTTTGTCCTTGGTACTATTGACCTGGTCTTACTGAAGACACCGGGTTGAAATGAGTACACAAGGAATGATCTTTCCCATGTTACCGAGCACCGAGTATCAGAGGAACAGAATTTAGCAAACAGACCACTCAGACAAGAGCCAATTTAGTAAAGTTCATTTCCCAAATTGGTCCTATCGGGATCGAACCCGGGACCTCCTTGTCTACACTGCAAACCGTTGGATCACCGAAATGCCAATAGTCGATGTCGGTTTCATTGATAAATATCAAAGATTTTTTTTTCAAATAACTACATTTAAAATAAGATACTTACCGGGTTTTCAAATTTATTATTAGACAAATGTCATCGAGTATAAAACCAGAAATAGAGACGAAATAAAGGGCCATCCATACCTGGCAACGCATCAGGCAAATGAGCCTTAAATCACTTTCAAACATCAATTCTCGTTTGCGCTGAAATCACAAATTAGAAAGCTGAAATAGTACAGTGCCAACAAGTGACCTGTGTGTACGTATCCGTATATTCCAAAAATATTCTGTATTTATTGCAATAAAGATAATATATCTAACAATGGAGGGCTGTTCCATTCGGTGATGTGGGAAAAACAGCAAAACATCTAATTACAAAACAAACGGAATCACATTTCACCGGTAAACAACTATTAAATATGTGATTTTTCAATTTTCGTCCATTATAGCAAAGCTCAATTTAAACTGGTCAATTGAAGTGAAACTATTGACGACACCCGTCAATTGTTTCGAATTCGGGCTGGCCAATCGGAGAGCAGTTGACGTCGTAATGATTTGGCAGAATAGTTATCAAACAAATTAAATGACATTTCGTCTCTATTTCTGATTCTATACTCGATGACAAATATAAACAGGCAAAAATTCTCTCCAAATAACTCTGATCTGATGATGATCTTCGAAAAAAATGCTGCATATTATTGAAATTATTGAAATATAAAGATCGCGCAATAAAACCAATTTATCTGTGATAAGGAAAAAAATTCACTAATGCTATTACGTAGGACAATGTGTAAAGAGTGGTTAATTACATATTTACTATTTTTGAAGTTTGTTTTCACTATGCAGCTATTTATATAATAAAACGTAATTTTTGTGTTGGGAATGATCCTGGGTGACATTTTAACATGATGATAATGTTGGTACTAAATTATTAGTATATTTACCTTAATTTTAAGTAACTCATTGAATGGATGAACCCCCCCAATAGGGCTAACACGACAAGGCGTGACATGCACAAGAGATAGAGAAGATACTATTCTCGCAGAGATTTCGCCTTTTATGTCTCTCTCGCGCAAGTCACGCCATATCGTGCGAGCCGTACTGATATCCCGGAATGATTATAAATAATATAATGATAATAACGCACACACTATGTCTCCGCACTAGGGAAACCCTGTACCGCGGGTGCCATGACACATACGTTTGGCCCCGGAGTACACCACGGACACTCCATACAATGGTCGAAAGTTATTTACCTACTACTACTACCTATCTGCTCTGTGTGCTATCTGCACACGCGCAAACGCGCGTGAAGTGGTTACCCGTCATTTTCTCGTACGTGGCCAGAGCGGCAACATAGCGAAAATTCTAATGCAAATCTGTTATCTATAACTCTATTAATAGAATCCTAATAGTTACACATGTTTATTAGGCGTTTATATCGATATAATATATTTTTCAATAATTTACTAACTACAATAACATTGATTCATGTAAAAAATATATTAAAAGCACTTGAAATGTTGTATTTTGGACAGGTACTTTTAAATAAGGTAACCAAGGTATTGAAATTGCGTGTCCAAGTTTATCATTACCTAGTTAATAATTAGGTATGTTGACTACGTAATATTTATCGGCAATACAAATCCAAAATTCGAGCACCTTTGTCTACTAGCTCACGAAGTTATGGCGTCTAGTAAGTTATGGTACTCTGCACTAATTAAATAAAGAAATCAATAACTTAATGAGTGTCAGACATAAGCTTTTGTCATCTTCGTTTCATCTTTCGGAAAACAAAAGAAACTCCTCTCTTTATCCCGTTTAGACGATAATAAACAGCCGCACACAGCATAATTCACGACCATTATAAAATAATAACGTACAAATTTTTTCCTTAATATGTCATAAATTTCCTAATGAACAAATGAAAAATATTCAAGTATCAAGGCCGTCTTCGAGCGAAAACGGCTCGCTGACAGCCTCGTTGTCGTTCAGTCAATATGACCGTCAATATGCGGGGCATGTGCGGTATCTAAATCTAGGGAGGGGCAGAGAGTGTCCGTTCTCGTTACTTTTTGTTCTCTGCTCGGAGGCAGTTTATTATTATCCACTCTTTAAAGTTAAAGGTAATACTCGGCGATCATACGCCTCGGTCACGAAAATATAGCCACGCTTGAAGCGTCAAAATACACCCACGAAGTTTAGTAATAAATATCCGGTGGTGAGGGGAAGTCAAGTCGAATTCTTTTTACGAATTAAATAGACTTTTCAAGATTTAAATATGTATTAATAACAACAATGCAAATAAATAACTAAAGTCTGTTCCAATACATTTTAAACAAAAAATAAAAACTGTTTGGTTCTAATGGAATAAGTAACACTTTCACGTATATATCGATGATTTCGACTTGATATATCATCACTTTTTCTAACAATATTCATTTGAAGCGCATCGTAAAATCATATTTGAAAAATGGTAGACCAAAAGTGAGGCTATTTTTCATCTATACATCTATGACTTGTCTATGCTTGCATAGTGCTGTACGAAAAAAAAGACATTCAGTTCATTCAATTAAAGTTTTTGTAATCGATTAGTAAATCGAATATTTCAATCGCAATCGAACGAGTATCTAAGTGTAAAGACTTGAAGGAGGATTTAAAATTAAGATTTTGGAAATTTTAAATATACTTACAGGTATAGGTTATGTAAGGAAAACCGCTACTATGACTCAATTGAACAAATCGATTCAGTATTAATTAATCGATTTGTAGTTGTCATTACAATTGGTCATCACTAAACCGTCCATGGTCGTGTCAGCGACTTGTTTGTTTACATTTTGTTCTAAATGGATTGAAACCATTGACTTACAAATAAATGGACGACGGGTCTAATACAAAAACCACGAAAACAATGTCCCAAGTCAACCTATTCGAAATTTAAATTGTTATGTCATCGCAGTATCGCGCTGTCCGTAGAACAAATGAAGACTAAAGCGGAGTGTCGCGCTCTGTATACGATTTTAGCGCCTTACAAGTGCGGACACTTTTTAGCGCGGACCCGACGTCCATATAATTGTAAGTCAATGATTGAAACGAAATATATTTTGCTTTCAGCGGTAACTAAACAACAAATATAAAATTATTCCCATATATAAAGACTGACAACACCACTCATATCACAAATGAATTAGTGGCTTTAAACTCCGGTGTATAAAGTCAAATTTACCTTGGCGTCAGGTGGCGGCGGCACGAATTGACCATACGTCTCTTCGGTCTGCGAGCAAATGTTCACCATCTTGTTGTCGCTGTACGATTGGTCGTACATCGAAAGCCGACTACGAACAATGTTCAATATTTATTACTGGGTACAGGGTCCATGACACGTTAAGCCTGACATTTAAGATTGAAACGAACTATGGTTTATTTCAAATAGCATGGGTACGGTGACATTTGAGATTTGAAGTTACTACGGATGTAGTGACGTAAAATCGAATGAAAAAGAATCGATTAAAATATCGTATCGAGACAATTTGTACCGAAGAGAGAATCGACTTAGGAACAATAATTTAAGAACAAATAATAAACAAAATAAGAAGAATTCGATTGTTATGTTATTAAGTTACAAAAAAAAATACACAACAAATAAAAAATCAACAATAACCAAACAATAGCGATATAAATCTCTATGGAAAAATATTCCGTTTTACGCATCAAGTAGTTGGGGTAATTTATTTTTATGTTCGTCATTTCTGTTTCTATCTACTTAATATACTGTAATTTTTACTTAAAATTACAACTCTAACAAATATTTAATTAGCCCTCAGCATACATGCACTGATCTGTCAGGCATGTACTATATTTAAGCTTTTATTATTGTTACCTAGCTGTAAGTTTTCCGAATAAAAAAAAAAAAAATATTGTTTGTTTTTGGTATATTATAACAAATTTCCTAGTTGAGAGATTAGTTACAAATAGTATGCATGCAACGTAAAAATTTGAAATGTCACAGTACCCATCCTATGTGAAATGGACTATAGGCAACTAGACCTTTTTAATTTGAATTTTGTATAGTATTAACGTATTTTTGCGGATAATTTTTATCAAATACTTTTCTTGTATCACTCAACGTTACTGTCAACGCGTCAACTCAAAAATGGGACGGAGATGAATGTATTTACTGGCATTGAAGTTACGCATGTTTACGAAACAATCTGTTGGTTACCTCTTATTGTTACATTTGAGTTATTCCGAAAATGTCGGGACGTTGACATTTTATCTCGAAATATTTGCTCAATTCATCTTGATAAACATTATCATTTAGTTAAGTATTAGGAGACTGAACTAAACTAATTGTTTTGAATTCGTATGCCACTAAAAGTTTAATTTATACTTATAAACCAGCCTAATATAATAAGCTACATTACGAATTAGATGCAGAACAGCCTATTTGAAAAATGGAATATTTTTCGAAATGACCGAGTTCCATTTATAATATTAGGGGTTAAAGTATGAAATTGCCGTTTTATTGCAATAGGTT